TGCTCGGCTACTCGCGACAGTCTCCGGCATGTTTAGGCTTGCTTGGTTGTGCTGCGGGGAAGCGGTGCCCCATTTCTAGAAGATTCCGGTTGGTGCATTTTGGGAACGAGACAAGGGATTCGCCTTGTTTTTATTGAAAAATGACCCAGTTTCTGATTTCTTACATAGTGACCGGTCTACAGTCACCATTTGGGACCGTTTTGAGCTTAGCCGCATTATTAGAATTCGATTTTGCTTAATCACTTTCCTATTGCTCGAATTCTCGAGAATAAAATAGATAGTCGAGATAAGCAGCAAGTCCAGAGGCATTTCACTACCTATTCTCCTCCTGAAACTGGTTTCAGCCAGCAATTAAATAGGGCGTGAAAAATGCATTTTAGCCTCGCTGGCAAGACATTTCCAAGATCCTGGCTAAAAATCTCAATATTGTCATACGCGAGAAACACCGGTTGGCTTCAGGGCTACAGTGGTCATTTCAATCAAAGGGAGGGGGAAAAAAACAACTCATTGGAAATGATGCACGGCTTGTAAATTGAAGTCGCAGGCGCCTGCCGAGACGTCGCGGGAGGGTCCCCGGGGGCCTTAGCGCGCGCCGCACGCTGGTGACACACCCGTCTTTTTTGACGGCGAGCTGAGTGCACAGTCAACCTGGGCAGGTGCGTTCACGACCCAACACCTCTCAAAAATCAGAGAGGTGATGTCAAAGGCGAGCCGTGTTTTGCTTAATCTGTTCCTGTTCGTTGATAACAGGCTCTTGTTAATTGACTGGAGAGACTCTCCGTCGGTGACTGAAAAATATGAGTCATTTTGGGGACATTTTATCTTTTTTTTCATGACTGTTTCTGAAAATCCAAAAGCCTGTATAGTTCACTATTTTACACAATATCTAAACCATGAAATGTGTGATAGTGATGGAGTTGCCCAATTCTATTTTCCGAAGTGATTTAATGGGTTTCGGACAACTACAAATTTAATACTCATGACAGCTCTTCACATATGTTTTTGTAGTCGACAGATATATTCGTTTCTCATGAGATTGCAAAGTGTGCTCCTAGGGATGAACATTTCGAAATGATGATTTGGGTACCATTTATCTTCAGTACTTACTACTTGTGGATTGCATTTGATTCGTATCAGTTACTGTGCAATGCTACTAACTCGATTGATAGTTAATGTCTTCATTGTTACGGACAGTTAATGAAGTATACAATTGAGTTCTAAACTTGGTTGACATATGACATCGTACAATATTATATAACGATTTCTCTAGATGACTGTGGTTTTCATTACAAATTGCCACTCGTGTTTAGGATTTAGTCAACTTGGTCCGTTTCCCCACTCGATGAAATGCCATTAAATGGCCATCTGGAATGCTTGGACAAGCATAACAAATCGGAAACCCCACGGTGCCTGGTATAATACTACCCAAAAGGGCTTTGGGTTTACCACACGAAATGTTCCGCTCAATACACTCGCAAGGACATCAAAATACGTCTGTTTGTACAGAGATCCCTCACCGTAGTAATTGACATGAAACGAAAGGTCCGACTTCGCTCAATCCCGACCGGGCCTGGACCGACCTCTGCCCACCGTTATTTTGACAGCCAGCACGGGTGATCCATTTTAGAGCCGGTCGTGTTGTCTGGCGTGCCGTTCCACGGAGTTAGCTCAGCCGCCTGTGTAAAGATCGTGAGACCGCGGCGCGGTTTTTTCCCCTGAGTATTGCTTTAAATTAAACCTCTATCATTTGGATTACCCTGTCATTATTGACTTATTATTAAATTACCTCCACGTCTTACCGCTGATTTTATTTGGCGGTGCTTTTTCTGAGGTAATCTCGCAGTGCTCGTGACTTGCTTTTATTTATTATTTTTCAGTACATTATAGCTGCGGTCCGTTTTTATCGCGTGTACTCTTTGTGTAAGCACCAAAAACATAATTTGAAACCTGTACTTTAGAGGGGTAAGGCAGAGTTGAGTGAATTTCTTCAGGGCATAATTTTCCTGAATGCTTTTTATTTTTACTGTAATGGATATTAACTGATCCATTCTTTAGTAAAAGTCGCAGTTTTCGAGCGTTTAACAAATGCTCTTCAAAAAGGCGCACACACTTCATAAATTTTTAATCCGTTGCACGTGGTCATGGAAGTTGGGTTAGCCATCCCAATCCTCTGATACACAGCTCTTATTAATTACATAAAATGAGGGTTGGCGTGTCGTACGGCACAAGTGCGCAGCACAGGTTAAGGACGCCGGCGTTTTGGGATCGACCAGTGACCGTGCTGTAGGCTGTTGTAACTCCCCGTCTAGCGTACCCTCGCGCCCGCTTTCATATTGAAATGCCTAGTCAACCATGACTTGTCCCCTTGTCGCCCGTCCATACGTCTCGGTGTTTTAACCTTTGCTGCGAAGTGAAGTGTTTCGGAAAGCTTGTGATGGATGGGGGTGTAGTGTGTTCAGGACTAGTCGACTGGGGGGGGGGGAAAGGCGGCTGTGAACATTATCGTTGAAACAACATCTGCCTCACGCGAGTTGAACACTGCGTTAGCCCTGGGGGCCGAGGAGGGGTATTCAAGCTGGAGGCATTTTGGGTAAATCCTCACATAGGATTCCAAAAAGGAGCCCCCAAAAGGCTTTGCACTTTTTCCCCTGCTGTATTGGTGCTGTAGAAAAAAACAGATAGGAGCCAGATACAAGATATTTTAATTGCAATCGATGCTGTCTGATCAGTGAGCAAAGCTAGATGACGCCGAGCAGTCCGCAGGCCGCTCGCTTGTCTGAGAGGCCAGTCAACCGTGAGTTGACGATAGACTAAAGACGTCGCCCGCTGAAACTTAAATGAGCTAGTTTTGGCTGGTAACATGCAAACTGTCCAATCTTTGTGCACTTCATCAAGGAAGAAGACTGGTCATAATTATAAGTTCATTTTCAAAACTTTCAAAGATAAAGTTTACTTGGTTCCTGGAGCGGAACAGGATTTAAAAGACTTTCCAGGGCAGACGGGTTGGGCATGGATTTTGTTTTTGACCTGAGTTTACTCCTATTTTTGTAAGTGCATGGAATTTGAAGCTGTGATCCTACAGCGGACCGCACCTACACAAAAAAAGAAAAGAAAAACGAAGTCGGGTAATCTTCAGAACGGTGCCTTTCAGCATCCGCAGTCTGTCTTCATTTTTTGTTGCAGAACACGTTGAGTGAAACAATCCACGCTTCAGTATGACTGAATACCGCCTCCCAAAATCCTTTGTGTATATGCATCAGCGACGTGCGTTCTATCCCATTTGCAAATCTCCCAATTTTGGGGTTTTAATAATTCATATTATGCAGGAATAAAAGACTGAATGAAACTATACCCACACTCGAATAGGGAACGATCGTATTTGGAGTGTTGTTTTTTTTCAGGACCCGCGTGTTGGCGCATACAAGACAAGTTGTTATTTCACGTCTGCACTTGAGCATGACCGTCGTTGACACAGCTTCACCGTTCACATGATTATTTTTTTGTAAACCTGCCGCTCTTATTCCGTTGTCATCGACCCTCACATTCAGAGTACTCGTGGGACAAATGCGGGAATTATTTATTCATTTTACCGTTCCGGAGATTTGGCTTTCTAATTGTGTGCTTTAAATATTTTCTGGGCTGTCAGACAAAAGGTTGTAGAAGTATGGTTAGGCCTAATTGCCGATGGTTCAAAAGTGGTTTTATTTTATTTATTCAATTATTTCTTTTTTTGGGGGGGGGTCGGTGAAAATTTCACAGCTGTGCTTCGGTTATTATCGAAGCGATTGTGTTACACTTTAAAACCTTTAATGAGACGCATGTTGTTACCGGTATCAGTTTTGGGTGTTTTTTGTTCACAAGAATGAACAAAGATCCCGGAAATGCTTGTTCAAGCGACAGATGCAGTTTTCACGATGGAAATTAATGTAGTTAATGTAAACTGTGTAAAAAAATAAAAGAAAAAATAAACAAAAAAACTACTGGTACAAATTAAAGAAAACGCGAATATTTAAAAGGTTTTGGGAGAATAGTGGGGGAAGATGTAGGGTCAAACTTTTTGATCAGTCGAGCACACCTTGGATTACATTCCTCTCGCGATTATTTCCAGAAATGTTTTTAGACTAAGGTGGGAAATAAGACACTGGTCATTTTGTAGGCAGGCCATGTGATGCTGATTTAAGCGCTTTTCTCTCTTGCATCGTTTAGCCATTCCACGAGAAAAGCTTAAAGAGATGGAAAACTGAGCGAGAGATGGTCCTATCACTAATAGACTGAGCGAGAGAGATGGTCCTCCCAATAATAAGTTGAACAAGAGAGATGGTCCTTCCACTGATAGGCTGAACGAGGGAGATGGTCCTCCTACTAATAGGAGATGAGATGTGTTTTGTTGGCCTAAAGTCCTTCATCTCAAATCCAGGACGGCCAGGATGCTCAGGCCGTCCTCGAAACATCGAGTCCGCACTCCCTGGTTGTTCTAAGAACCACACCTCTTCCAAAAGAGATTGTTTCCATGGTGTACCCGCAAGTCTACATCTCAAAAGAGCCGCTGTTGTTAAAAAAATTGCTCCCTGTCTTGGTCCAGTTCGACGCTCATAGCACTGTTTTACATTTAACAATGTCCTTTGAGCCTTTACAAATTGAATTGATATAAGAGTTACCTTATATTATCAGTTATGGAAGACAAAAACTTGGAACCTAAAATTGTCCTTGATAGTCCTCTTCTTATCAGTGCTGGAGCGTATGTGTTATTTGCTTCTATTTTTGTACAGAAATGTCACAATTACAAAAGGTTTAGCTCCACCTTTTCATGCGATATTCAGTCCGAAAGTTGTCATTTTGCTCTGCCTCAAACTTCCAACCGGTACGTGCCATCCGTGTCAAGGCCGTTTTTGTACTGATAAGTTGAAGTCAACATTCTAATTATTTGTTATTGCTTTCAGTTTTTTTTACATGAATTCCCGCTTTCCGCCCCGAGCTAATTTTGGCGGGCTTGCGTGTGTTCACGCCCAGGCGTGAAACAGCGGTCGTATGGTTTAACCGCGAGAGTCACGGGGGAGTTTTTTATATTAAAAAGTGACGGAGCCAACACTAACAAGGCTTACATAAATATTGTAAGCAGACATTTAGTGGGTTACGAAGCACGAAAGTAAAGAAAGATGCTTAGTGAATAACTGTGCGTAGCTTACCAACCGGTGGTTAGAAAGTTATAAGATATTTGCTTCCATTTTATCATTCACTAATTTTAATTTGTAACGAATGAATAAGTTTTGATTTAGGCCTAAGATGATGGACTTTAGGCCAACAAACCGCATCTCATCTCCTCATACTTGCTAGAGCTATGCTTAAATTGACATTCAACCCAATACAGTCTAGCTTTCATTATTGATGAGTACTACCTGGCATGTATATTGCCGCTGAGTAATATTGAACTGTACATCTAGACTAGTTTTGACTTGAGTTTAGGAAGTGCTTTTCTGCTTCGTGACACGCGCCTGTTCGCATTTTCCACTTGAACAAAATTAGGCGCAATCAGTCCTTATACATCCGCAGCCTGACTGTCTATCGACTACCCCGAAAATGTGGGCGTGAAAAGAGCAGAAACTTTAATTTGGATTTTGCGTGGATGTGTGACGGCGCGAAGCCAACGACGTGGACATGATTTGAGATATTATTGGACGGGAAGATGGTTCATCTTATCGAGGTGTTGTTACGCGGCCTGCATGTCAGACGGTTGCAAAGTTAATTGAATATTTTTTTTCGCGAGGAATTTAATTTAGGCCTAATAACCGTTCAGATCGATTGAGAAGCAAGATGAAGTCGGAAAATCAGCTGTGTTTTCCCCTGATCAAGTTCGCTCATTGCTTGCAATTTTAAGTATTTATTGTTTTGGTTTCGTACCGTACCGACTGCAGAATATTAACTAATTATTACCTTAAATCTGAAGTCGATATTGTTTGGTTAGCAAACGCCATTTAAAGTATAACCCCAGGAGTCTAAGATTCAAGAAGATTGTAGAGCCAAAGAATTATCGGTAATTTGATTTTTCTCATTCCTTGTTTGGTGGTTTCATAGTTACCACAAGAAAGGTAACGATTTTGAACTTTATGGAAGACAAAAATTGCACGAAGTATGACAGAAGCCCTGAAAGCATAGTACTGCTGGATGCGATTCTCTATTGTTTATTTTTCCGAACCTTAACAAAAAGAGCCCTTTCTGTCTTCTTTTCTATATAGGAAAGAAAATACGGCAAACATTTAATAAACCTGCTTCTAATTCCTTCGAGACTGGAATTGTGTCCATAGGTTTGAGTCGAATTCAGTATAGACGAAAACTCACCATCTTTATTCATGTGAGCGTCGAAGCATTTCTGCAGTCGACATGCCCGACACTGGTTTCGATGGGTCTTGTCGATCGGGCAGCATCCACCTCCTCTGCCCTGCTGTTTGCAAGTGTAGACACGGTTGCGATGGATCGAACGCTTGAAGAATCCACTGCAGCCGTCGCAGGCGTACACACCGTAGTGCTTGCCCGAACTCCGGTCGCCACAGACTTTGCAAGGAATATCCAAGAGACGGTCGCCTGAAAAACGGAGACAGACACTGTGAAAAGTGGGCTTGTGAATAGTCAAAGGACAAAAATGACCGTTGAGTATTCAGGACGATACACAGACGAGTTGAGATCTAAGGAAAGATTGAACAGACTGGAGTCGTAAAGGGGAGCGACAAAGTGGCAGGACAAGATTAGGTGAAACAAAGAAATTGAAATGCAAGAGTTTGATGAACGTCAAATGCAGAAGAACTGGAACATTGGAAGGAATGGCAAGCTGGGACATAGAAAAGAAACGAAAAGGGCGATGTAAGCTTGGAGAAACGTGGAGATCTATAGTGGGTGGCAGAAACAAAAACAAACAAACAAACGACAGGAAGCACGATGAACTAAATTATATTACGGGAAAGTCGCATGGATTTGAACCCAACTGAATCAACCGATAGTCAGTGAAATACACGCAGCGATGCTCTATAGACTAGCCTGTGAGGACCCTGAAAACTTAAAAGAATTTTGGAGGATTTGGAATGAACCATCAAAATGATGTAGCTCTGCTCACAAAACATTGTATCGTGTGGTCTTTGCGCCGACCTTTTCGCCATTCAATCCCTCGCCGGTCGCAGATGATTTCTTCCCGTCGGTTGGAGCAGAGTAGACGGGTCACTCCGGAAACTTCGGTCTGTCTCGAGACCTGCTCAAAAGATTCTTCGCAGGTCAACTTCATCGCTTTCCTCTTGTCCAGAAAAAAACTACTTCTCGGAACAAATCCAACCTTCGGATCACGGCTCATACAAAGTGATAGTGGCTGTAAATCTGTGCGGGTTTTTTATATACTTGGGAGGTTTTTGTTGTTGTTTACGAGCTTCGGTATGTTGAGGTTTAAGAGTGACTGGTCTGTAAAACAATTCAGCGTGCTGTGCGCGTGGAGGTCGCGGGGCAGCAATTAGATCACGCGTGGCAGATTACCGTGAGAAGCGCGCCCAACACGAGCCAAGCCACGGACATGGCGCCGCGCACGGCTCCTTAACAAACACGCGCCACTCGTATTGTTCGCTAGTTAAGACCTCAGCCCAGTTTTTCATTGTTTAAACCAAGAATCGTCCGACTAAGGTTGAGCTTAGACCATTTTTTCTCTATTTTCCATAAGGGGAACCAAAGACTAGACTTTGGCACGTGTAATATTGTTATTCTAGGGCTGGTAGGCCCCTCAATCGGCCCCATGCATGAGCCTGTTGGTGAAGGCTAGGCATCGGTGACGCGTGAACAGTTCAAACGTCCCAGATTTACAAAAGAGTTTTTGCTTGTTCAGAAAGTATTGCTTTGTTAATACAATTCACTGAATTTATCACCTCAAGCGGAAACGGATGAAAACATTGTCATTAATCGATCCGTGGAACATTTATCTCTGTTTGAAATAAATCTCAAAGTCAGAAGTGCTTAAACCATTTAATTTGAAGTTCATGCACGATTGTTCTCTACTTGTACATGTACATGTACATACCTTTTTGTTCGTTTTTTGTGACTGTTTTTTATTCTAGAACAAGTGAAACCAAGGCGCTCACGGAGGGCCGTGAAATGAGAAAATGAACAATTTCCACATGCATTGAAAACCTCTGCAATTGTCCATTACCGCCTCCCCCGGCAGCAATATTCAGTCGCATAGATTTGGCTGAAAACTGTACTGTGTATTGCACAGCTTTCAGGCTTGTGGGTCTGGGTCCTCCCCAGACCATAAACTCGTGAGTTTTCGGTAATTCAGGAATTTCCCGTTGAATGAGATTTTAGTAAATAGAGTTATAACAATGGAGCAGATTATATGCATACGTTACGGTTGGGGTGAAAGCTCAGCGAAATTGTGAGAAATCGTGCGATTTCGTGCAGTCGTATACCGTGGGAATCAGACCGAGTCATCAAAACTCAATTCACTTCTTTACATTATTGTGTCGATTATCGATATTGGTGATCGATATAATCCCGTATGAGAAAATAATGGTGGTGCCCGTCTCACCATGGATTTCAGTCAAAATAACAGGAACAATAGTTTGGTCAAATTCAGCGATGCATTGCCCATTCTCAGCCATTCATTTCAACAGCTGTTGTACTGATCTCTTTTCTTTTCGATTTTTTGATTCATAATTCAGGGTGATGGAGACTGCACGGCATTCCAGGCCTTTGTTACTGCACCTTTTGTTGTTGTTGACGGTGTTTTCTGCTGACACGTTTAGAATAAAACGTTCCGTTACGTTTCCAGAGGGGCGCAACAAACTTTTCTATAGCATGTGTCATCGTACAGGATCGAAGCAAATATTTACTTGGCTCGTTATAGGGTCACTATACTTGTTTTTATAAGATTTTTTTATTATTTGTGGATTTAAAAAAAACGTTTTTCTTTTGAAATATTTATAGCAGACATCGGTCTTCGTAAAACTCAGCTCATTACTTTTAATTTTCAAAGGACGAGCAAAAACATTTGAATGCCGCAGTTTTTCAATATGAGTTGTATCATTGCTGACATGCATCCGCTGGTACGAGATCGGCAAAATGACGCTCCGTAAAACTAAAGGTGTTTTCTCCTTCTGTCTTTTTGTTTCATGCTGTTGTCATTTCCCAGCCCATAAACGGGCCAGGGTGGCAGAAAGATGAGTTTCCCACGACAGGCATCTGTCGAAGCAGCCAAGCGCGCATAATCGGCTTGCCCCGGACACATTTCGACACTGTCAACTCGGCAAGTTCTGCAAGGTCCCGGATGCTCTCTTTTTTCAACACCGTGTCCTAAATTGTTATTGTGAAAACTAGATTACCATAAATGCCATGTTTTAAGTGTTCAATTGTCCTACTTGATTGTATTTGATTTGGTCCACTGGACTCGCGATGCAGCTGCTGTACTCTAAGTGAGCGACTTCCATATACAGTGTAGTAACTTCGAAGGTGTAAGAACTCGTGAGTTGGGGGTGAATCAAAAGCATCTCCCTACCAAGAATAGAAAAGAGCCTATCTTCTGCCTTGCATCATAAAATGAACATGACTTCATTACTTCAAGTAGAAATTCGAATTGATACCAAAAGGTTGTGTACACTCTGGAAAATCGTTGGTGTCGAAAGTGGCTTGCAAGGATTTCCTGGGATGGGCCTGTGGGTTCAAATGCAGTTTTCTCATGTCAATAATGCATAGACTTATCTCATGAAGAAGACTGACATAACTCCTACTCAACACCGAAGAGATTGCTTCTAACCCATCGATTGATCTTTTTTCTCTTGCATGTATCTTGCCTTTTACTATGGATAATGTGAACTTTTGGATATTATGATTAGTTCAAGATTGTTTCACTATTTGGAGCTCACAAAAATCAACTTTAATGGTCTTTATGATTTGTACAAATTATTTTAAAGTGCCTCTTGTGTGTGTCCTATCGAAGGAACTGATCAAGTCTGTTGAAATCGGAATTTCAATAACTTTCATCGTGAGAACGTGTTTCCTGTCGTGCATTGTCAGACGAGTTTGCTCGTCAGTACCCAACCAAGAGATTGTCACCTCTTGCCCAGTGAGCGCCTGCGTGATCTTCGAAGGCCGCGGTCGACCGGTCCTTGTCTAAAAAAAAAATCAAACCCCACGAAGCCTGAAAATCTGAAGTAAAAATAGTCGGGACAACAGGTGTTTGTCGGTGACAAAAGACGATGGTTTCTGTGTTGTTAAATTGACTAGTAAAAATTTAACGTGTGATCAATTTGGAGCAAATCGAAGCTTTTGTTTTCTCAACAGCAGATTTCCGGTGATTGTTTTGTTATAAGCTTTACGTCTGGTCAGGCTGTTGCTCTGATTTTGTAACCATATCGTGGCCCAGTTGCTTCGTGTCAATTTTTGCTTTGATGAAAGCTGTGAATGAAGCTTGAGATTTTGTTGCATTTTTCTTACCAGTGTTGTCATTGGTTCCTTTGTCATAGACATTTTGAGTTTAAAATTGATTGGTTTTTTTGGAACATCCGTCAGGAGAGAAATTTGCCAACTTGGAATTTAGGCCTAAATCGCTTCCCTAAAATGTTCCACAGACGAAACCAGAAAACTTAACTCATCGGCGCAGATTGCGTGGACAAAGTAAGTCTACAGAATTTGGTAAACCTTACGCCAAGGACCTTCACAGCATTGAGAGATTTGAAGTGGTTGACTATGGGCTAGTTTCAAGGTCAAAGGCTCGAAACCTGAAGTTATTGCGGAACACTCGAGAACGCGATGTAGCGAGCAGCATGTGGCCGGCATGAGGCCCACCGTCTCACACGGGTTGATCGCTTGGTGTTCAAGTGGTGAAGAGACGGAGGGTTGATGGACTTCACCAGTGCATACACTCCCAGCATGCAGCTGGTCGATTCAAGTGATTGGCTTGTTTTTCTGGTGTTTCTTCCTACTCTTTAGAATCACCCATTTACCGCAATAACTATCTCAGTGTCAACATTTGTGTTGTTTCGATTTTCGATTGTGTACAATTCGAGTTTTTAGGGATATTTCAGCTGAATACGAATTACGTTTTTCCAGAGTAGGCCTATTGTTGGAATTGCGTATTGGAAGAGGTCTTTTCACAGAAAGACAGTAGTATAAGAATTCTGTAAAGGGCCATTCATTTGAAACATTATTTTACAGTGATAATTATGTTCTTTTTTTAAACCTTGGTTTATTTTAGTTTTGTTTTGTTTTTGCTTTTCTAATTTTGCTGCTCTGAGATTCCGTAATATCTGCAGAAAACGCCAACAATAAGTTGACCACAACCCATCCCGTATGTTCTGTCTCCTTCCCTTAATTATGTATTCGAAATTATATTCGCAATTTGTTAAGATCTTTTGTTCGTCCCACCAATCGTAACCTGGTGAGATTTTCCCACGATGTGAGTCCATCATACACGATTGTGGGTCCTCCTGTGTCGAGTTATACAGGTGTCACAACATAAGCCCTCTCATCAGCTGGTCTGTGTATCTTCCCGTTCACTGCGCATGCGTTGCATATCACATGATCAGTGCTTTCGTGCCCTTTGTCTCGTCTGTTAGACTATCAATACCCGTTTTGGTCCCTTCTCTAGCTTTGATAGCTAATTACATTACAAATAATGCTGTTATTTGCTTTTCTATCGTCTTTTGGGTGCTTGTCTTTGTCAGTGTGGTTTACTTTAAAGTAAAACGAGGATTTAACGGAATGGAATTTGTTCAGACCAGACGTAGTTATGACATGACGCTGACTGAAGGTCTTCTACCCAAAAGGTGTTAAGAGAGTGAGAATCACCATTCTATTACCAAACTTTCCCACGGGTTTTGTCGCAGCGCAGCACTCTTCAGTCACTTGATATTGTCCTGCCTTTCTATTGGCTGTCTGTTGTTTAAACCACGCCCATTTCAATTCATGCCGCGAATAGTTAATTCTCATTGTCTCCATTAACGATTTGCGATGACAGGTCGACAAGTTCTGAAATATTTCTTCAAAACGAAACGTCAATCATTGTTCACGTAGAAAAGTTTCAGTAACTTTTCAGGTTAAATTCTTTATTAAACATGAACGAATAAGCGTACTATCTTATTTGGAAAGACGAAACAAAAGGTCCACCATAGTTTTTCACTCCCAAATCTTTTCCCTTCATATGAGATTAGCTCATATTGTAAATTACTTCCCAACAGATGACACCAAAATTGTTCTGCCTTTCAGAATTTAACTCTATCTCCAGTGGGGTCATTTTATAATCAAGAGAAGAAGAGATGAGCTTGATTTACTTGGTCTTCACCATGCTGTACGTTTATCAATCTAAAAAGAAGAAGGTTTCAAGATGTTTGATTCAAAGCAGCAATGGATTTGACTTGCATTGAGGACCATCAACCACCCCCCCTGCAAAAAAGCAAAATTATGAAATAGTGTGCAGTTTGTAGTGTATTTTTCCATAGTTTTATTTTAAACAAATAGCAACCGACTTTAGGCAGCCTGGGCAGTAAAGTCAATAAAATGATAGAGAGTTTCTTTCTAAGTGTTTGAAATTACTCCGTTGCTGGCAACTTTCCAATCAGTCTCCGATTTGTCGAACTTCATCAAGTAAAAGCCGATTTTGTTTGGGTCCGTATTTTATGGGAAAGCATACAACGTTGCTGTAAAAACCGTTGAGAGCGGTTGTAGTGGACGCGATGGTTAAGTACCGTCTTCACATCCGTTAGGCACCGGGGGATAGTTAACGGATCGCCGGGGGGCGATGGGAGACAACGCACCTGCACAAGACTAGGGCCCATAAAAATCACCCCGGTCCGCTTCAACGACTGGAAAGAGGTGTAACTATGGCTGCTCTCACGGCTTGCTCTCGTAAAAATGCAATTTTCATGACAGGGTAAACTTACAAGTCAAACTATGATGTCATACAGCTGGGCCCTGGAGTTTGTGCCACATATTTATTATTTATTGGAGAAACCGTCGAAATCCTGAACGCGTGGGTGTTGGCCTTCGCGAACTAACTAACATT